GGTATATCCCACTCAGAAGGATGTGGAATAGGGTAGACAATCTCGGCATAAGTCTGTCGATATACTTCTGTAGTGTAGCAATCCATAGCGTATGCGCTTGAATCATCTTGGTTTAGATGAAGAGCAACTTTTATAACATGGCCACACAGATAACCAGATGTTTGCCATTTCATACAACTACACGTCTTTGCATTTAGATCGACAAGCTCATTTAAGTTATTATCTAATACTTCAAACAAAGTGTTTGAACATGGTTCAACTCTCCATGACGTTGACTTCACAACACGTTTTGTTATCTTTTTTTCAGTCCATGGTGTAATACGACGTTCCAATGTTCCTGTAAATTTAAATAAATAATACTTAGTAAAATATATAAATATGATAAGTTACGAATTTAAAGAAATAATACCTGCATGGTTTCTTTTCTTGTAGTACCACTGTTGAATAGAGGCTCGAAAAAACTCCATTAACATAGTAATGGGTAATTTTCGGGAATGACAACTTAGAGCGTTGATTGATTCTGCACTATTAAACGTCATGAAACCATATCTTGCTCCAAGTTGATGTACTCTTAACCATCTTTCAAACCCGACATCTTCTAGTGTTTGAGCACATTGAGACAAAACACGTCTTAAACAATTTATATGCTTATTAAAATCTACTTCCCGATAAGCTTTTACAGCCTTCCAGTATGCCCATTTGTGATTTTTTATACCAGCAGACATTGAATTTAGATTTCTATACAAATGAACACCACAAAGTCCATAAAAAGCATATGGGAAACACCTTCTAATAGCGTTGTCAATTGAGTTTTCCCTATCGGATATGATTATCAGATTGCTAATAGGATCTATGCAATCCCTAAGATGCCCCATAAACCATGTCCATAAATCAGAGGTTTCAGATTTGCCAACCCCGTAAGCTATTGGCAGTATCCCATTGTTAGCATCCATGGCTACTGCTAATAAGTTTACTCCAAGGTATCGACCTTTCAAATGTGCTCCGTCAACTATAATAACTGGGTGCATGCAAGTAATAAACGAACGAATCTACAAAATAATATACACAAGAAATATAATCATTTAAATGTGAAATGCATGTAACTAACAAAAATGAGTCAACAAAATTATATTGATTTACTAACCGCAACACCAATGGTGATAAACAGCAACTCAAAGCGTCCATCTCTATCTGTTTTGATATGAGTTACCGACCCAGGATTTTTTAGCTTTAAATTGTGACAATAAGCCGACAGTTGGGTAAACGATGCTTCTAGGGACCTCCTCAACAATTCCAAGGCATAGCATTTGGCTCTCCAAGCTTGAGAATATGAGATACTAATCTTGAACTGAGCATTCATGTCAGTCATAATTTCATGTCCCCGATATACCCTGTCATTAAAAAACATTAACTCAGCCAGAAAACTACCCAACACCTTTTTGTTTACCTGTCTATGGTGAGGAAAAACTTGGGTTCTTGAACATGTATGTTTATCAATAAAAGTCCTAACTTGAAACATTTCACAATCTTTTATCCTCTTTGCAATCATACGCCACGTACAATTTTTATCAATCATACACTTTGTTTCAAAACGATTTTTCTTGATTTGTTAACTTTTAGTTGATAGTCATCTTCCACGCATTTCGTATACAAAGCTATCTTCAAGTCTTCCTTTGTATCAAAACAATCATCTTTCTTGATTTGAATAACGTTTGTGTAACAATCAACTGTTATCTTTACCAACTCTTCTTCCGGTATCTGAAGTAATTCTGGCATATTCCAGTTATACTCCCGTGGCATTTTCTTCTTTTTCGTTTCTTCGGGGACTTATTCTTCTTCTTTTTCTTCTTCATGGTTATATGAATTACAGAATGGATGTTCAACATGTTCATTCACAGTCGTAAATTCCTCCTCATTATTATCAACAACATCTTCCTCGGCAGTGGTTGTTTCATCATCAAAATTCGGGTATTGACCAATATCAAAATCATTACACGCAGAGTCTGTTTCTTCTTCTGAAACATCATCAAAATCCGAGTATTGACCAAGATCAAAGTCCGGGTATTGACCAAGATCAAATTTCGAATACTGACTAGTACTCACACTTTTTTCTATTGGCTCATAATAGTCTAATTGGTCAATGCGAAAACGAAATTTGGTGCTGAAAGTTGATTGGGATTTGGATTAAGAAAATGTTGTGGGTTTTGAGATTGTATTTGATATTGTGTTTGGTATTGGAAATTTGGTGAAACAAAATTTTCTTGGTGATGAAATTGTGGTGGAACTATTAAATTTTGAGGTTCATAACAACGTTGTACATTGTGAGCACCATAAACTGGGGTTGAAGAACTTAGTTGATTACTACCCGCTACTGACCCAACTTCACTACTTCTAGGTTCAACAACATACAATGTAACATCATCTTCTTGCGAAACACTAATGTAAGCAATGAATCGTTCAACATCTTCATTGTCGGTTAACAAATAAACTTTACATTTTCTCTGATAAGATAGCCTAAATCCACTTAGAGGCTCTAAATTCAATTTCTTTGCAACACGTAACATTAGAGTTTCATAAGTTAACTTTTTTAATAGTTGTTTTAGTTGAAGATTCATGGGTAAAGGCATATATTGTAAAACACCATGAACATTCTCCCATGACCATTCTCCCATGACCATCCAAAACACAAATCTATCCAAACATGATCAACATTAGATGATTTCATTATACAAATTGTAAATTAATTTACTAAACAAACGAGCTATAAACTACGTATCATATCACTAACTTAGAGAAAAACATACATTTATTAAGTTGATAGTTGATAATTTGGGAGAGAAATCAGTGAAAAATTATATAGAAATAAAATTATGTAAAAAAAATTATAGATGGGGAAGGATGTCATTGGATATAGGAACGGATGTCGCCGGAGAGAGTGATAGATGAAGATGGAATGAATTGCGATTTAGGGATTTAGGCTATGAGTTGTTGCTGCTGCGTAGTTATATACCAAAAACATTTGTGTTGCGAAAATAAAACCTGGTCAGAAATTAAATTCGTGTTGCGAATTTGAAAATTGAGTTGCGAAAACAAAATTCGCGTTGCGAATTCAGAAATCGAGTTACGAATTTGAAATTCAGTGTTGCGAATTTGGAAATCGCGTTGCGAATTTGGAGTTCGCGTTACGAATTCGAGACCGCGTTGCGAATTTGTTGGTTATTTTCGCAAATCCAAAAAAAGTTGGTTAAAATCGTATATTATAAGGCATTTTCGGTCACTGAAGTTATTTTAAGTTTATGCTTATAAAGGAAAAAGAGATAATCACATTCTTAGTCATTGTATTTCTTTAGGCTTTCTAAAAAGACTCCAAATTTTACTTCTTTACGAAAAGGTCATCAAAATTTCCAATAAATCAATTTTCCCTAAGTCAAATTTAGAGATTTAAACAATTTCTCCCAAATTTTAGGTTTTCAGATTTAGGGAAAAATAAAGGTGTTACAATTATGTTTTAAACTCATCATTTTCCATTAAAAAATGGTGGTTGCTTAAATTGAACGTTAACATGATGACTGGATGATAGTCATTTGAGATTCTAAGATCAAATTTTATAATATTATAGTCAGTAAGTTAACTTTCAACACATAATACCATAAATTTTTTAACGAAAAATTACGAGTTTGGAAAGTAATGAATAGTCTAGTGACCATTTTATAACTTTAATAGTCGAGGGACTCAACAAAACAAAACTCAATAGTCAAAAGACTATTTTGAAACTTTTAATAGTCAAAAGATTCAATAAAGCGATATCCTATAGTCGAGGGATCATTTGTGTAATTTACCCTAAAATTAATTTAATAAAAAATGATTAAAAACCGATCGAAATCGGATAGATTACGATTAATTGAATTATAACCTAATAATGCTCTCGGCAGTCACTACTCATTAATGCCATGCTTAGCATCACATAAAGAGGGTTTACCTTAAAAAACGAAAAACATTTAGGTGGTGTTTGTTTTTGAAGAGGTAAAAGATCTGCAGTCTACGGACCACATCTGCAGACATCTGCAGCAGAAGAGGTGGATCAAAAGTCTGCAGTCTGCAAGAAGAAGGCTGTTTGTTTTTTAACGTCTGCAGACTGCTAAAATAAACTGAAATATAAAATAAACTTATTTTTTAAACTTAAAAGAGTTTTGCAATACTAAAATTTAAATAATTTTAGTTTTATAATACTGAAATTTAAATAATCCATACAACTACAATAATAATTTTTTTAAAATAAATCAATTCATATTTTAAAATAAATCAATCCATATTTTAAAATAAATCAATCCATATTTTAAAATAAATCAATCCATATTTTAAAATAAATCAATTCATATTTTAAAATAAATTTTTTCATATTTTAAAATAAATCAATTCATATTTTAAAATAATTTTTTTCATATTTTAAAATAAATCAATCCATATTTTAAAATAATTTTTTCCATATTTTAAAATAAATCAATCCATATTTTAAAATAAATCAATCTGTATTTTAAAATAAATCAATCCATATTTTAAAATAAAATTTCCCATATTTTTAAATAAATCAATTCATATTTTAAAATAAATTTTTTCATATTTTAAAATAAATCAATCTATATTTTAAAATAAATCAATCCATATTTTAAAATAAATTTTTTCATATTTTAAAATAAATCAATCAATATTTTAAAATAATTTTTTTCATATTTTAAAATAAATCAATCGATATTTTAAAATAAATCAATTCGTATTTTAAAATAAATTAATCTATATTTTAAAATAAATTTTAATAATTTTAATTTTTTCACAGACCTTTAAAGATATAAAATCATGTCTGCACGAAGAAGAGTTCGCGCAGACGTTTGAAGAATTTTTGTCTCATAAAAATCAAATAGTCTACAAAATCCAATATCTACGCATCCAATATCTGCACGCGACACAGACATTAGAGCTTTACAGTAAAAACCTACTTATCGTCAAAATCTTGATTTAAGACACGAAAATACATGCCGGTTTTTAAAAGTTGGTCTTTGGTTTGGGATATTTGTGTTTATCAAGATTCATTTGCTGCGGTGTCTCTGTTGCTAAGTATTTCTCTCTTTGCTGTGATGCTCATTGGAAATCTCAGTCAAAACGAGGTTTGGGGTTCTTTCAACTGTTTATTCCTCTTTATCATTCACTTAATTCAACGTTTTCGGTTCCTTTTCACATTCATGAATCATGTTGGTGTTCTTTATCCGTTCTTTGCATTTATTTTCGGTACTTCATTCAGATTTTGTTTTCTTGGGTTTAACGAAATTTTAGTCTGTTATTTGATTTGAATGTAGAAAACAATGATACCCCAAAATTTTGAACAATGAAAATTGGGAAAGAATCATGATCAAACTAGATATAGAATGAAAGAAAGTCATCAGAAACTGGGGAAATTATAAATAGTTTGATGTTACTGATGTTTGCATATGATTTGTTGATCATCTGGTTCAATTTTTAGTTGATTCTAACTGGCTAAATAATAGCGTAATGAAAACCATCGAACTGGAAACCTTTGTGAACGAGAACATGTTTGATTTACATTTATTATCGAATGAATAGATGTTGTTAATTGAGGATATAAAAATAGGTAAGCTTAAAGAAGCAGGCTAGTTGTATAAATAATGTCCGGTAACATAAGTTTCTTATTATATACTTTTAATAAACAATTAAATATATAAAAGAGGCGTTGCAGAACCTTTATGTTCTTACATGTCAGACCCTTAGATAATGGTATGGCTCGGTTGGTTCATTCTTAATTCAAACTTAATACGGTTAGATGCTAGCTAAATATCATGTAGATTGTAGCCTCATAACTTAATTGTTAGAGTTTTCGTTTAACTTGATTGTTAAGAGTTTTATTTTCTATTTTCTATTTACTCTGTATTCTACGTCTTATCTAATTAAGAGATTAGATAGGATATTAATTAGATTAAGTTAACTCCTAGTAGGGCACAAGAATTGTGTTCCTATTGTATCTTCGTTGTAAATCTTCCCATATAAGGCCTAACCTATGTAATTGTTTTTGAAGTGAGAAAATACAGAGAATTCAATTTCTTCTCTGTTCCAAAAACTTTCTTCTCTATTTCTACAAATCATAAAAGACAAATTACTCTTGAAAGGCATGACTGGAATCTTTCTACCGAGTATTCTATTGATGAGTGCCTACTTATGTGAAACTGGTCTTAGATTTTCAGTCTTATTCCACTCTACTGATACCTAGCCTTACCTGTAACTCTTCTATTTGGAAAATTGGAATTTATAATCCCACTTTTATCGTAGATGCGAAGAGTTCTAGCATAGTCAGTTTGAGTAAGAGGAAGTGGGAGTTGGGGTGGTGTTGGTGCTTCATTTCCAACTAGTTTTAACTCAAAAAGCGGAAGAACCAACTTTTTCTGCACAGCAAAATTATTGACAGTATTATCATCACATTTGGAACATCTGAGATCAGTTAGACTTAGATCTTTTGTTTCTGATCTTCAGTTTTCTGAATTGTAAATGGCTTTTATATTTTTTTTTCACAAAAGAATGTCTTAGATTGTTATAATTGCTGCAGTCTTTTGCCTAGTTATGGTACATGTGACCCACTATGAAGGTTTATAAAGTTTGTCTATATTGATGACAAAAATAGTGACTAAAAAAGGGGGGGGAATGTCTAAATGTATTAGGGAATCATAGTAACAATCCTGGAACTGTTATGGATTTGCATGTTATATAATGGTATGAATTTTATTGTTTCACTCTTGAACTGAATACAATTAGATGCAAGCTAAATATCCGGTTTGTCTGCATTTTTAGTCTTATTCCACACTACTGATACCTAATCTTACCTATTAGACTTGTATTTGGAAAAATGGAATCTATAATCCCTCTTTTACGGTAGATGTGAAGTGTTCTAGCTTTGTCAGTTTAATTAAGAGGAAAAGTGGGGTTAAAAAGAAAAGAGCAAGAAACAACTTTTTTGCACAGCGAAATTATTGATAGGGTTATCATCACATCTGGAACATTTGAGACCACTTAGACTTAGATCTTTTGTTTCTGATCTTCAATTTTCTCTATTTTAAATGGCTTTGATATATTGTTTTTTTTTCATACAAAAAATTGTCTTAGAATTGTTATAAATGTTGCATCCTTTTGCATAGATATGCTATATGTGACCTGCTATGAAGGTTTGTAAGTTCATCTAGATTGATGATAAAAATAGTGTGGCAGAAATGGTCTAAAAATGCGAGGAACACATAAATATTTGGTATCAATTGTAAGATCTAAAGCATCAGATTTTGATTTGAACATATCATAGCATATTATGAGTAAAAGCGGTTTCACTCATCCATTTAGCTTAGACAAGAATAAATGAAATATGTGATTCCACCCCACCCCCCTTTTTCTTTGTAAGCATAAGCCTTGATGTCGAAAAACTAGCTGTACATAGCATGTATTCTATTATGAGTAACCTCTTCATAAGCATAAGCCCTGATGTCGAAAGACAGAGTACCTTTTGCAGTGTTTCATACAGCTATACTGAATTTACTTATTGTGGTCATTTCATCATTACTATTAACAAAAATGAACCATTCTGCTAATTTTTAGTGTTAGAGAAAATATTTATTTATACAAATGTATTGGAGAAATATGGCTGTATTTGTAAGAACCCATTTCCCAATAGAATTTTCTGGCTTAAGTCACACTATTTACACCTGTTGTTATGTTAACTCTATAGCCTACTAAACCTCTTCATAAGCATAAGCCCTGATGTCGAAAGACAGAGTACCTTTTGCAAGGTTTCATTCAGCTCTACTGAATATACTTATTGTGGTATTTCATCATTACTATTGACAAAAATGAACTATTCTGCTAATTTTTAGTGTTAGAGAAAATATTTATTTGTGCAAATGTGTTGGAGAAATATGGCTGTATTTGTAAGAACCCATTTCCTAATAGAATTTTCTGGCTTAAGTCACACCATTTACACCTGTTCTCATGTTAACTCTATAGCCTACTATGTTACCATGTTAAGTTCTTTTCATATATTTGGAGGACCATACTCCTATACTTGTGCTCAAATGTGTAAAACATAAGTATTGGAAAATGAAGAGTCCGGATAACATTTAGTATTATCCTAAGAGGAGTTCTTCTGTATATTTGTTCCATATGATTATAATCCCTAAAAAATGAGGTGTATGGATTCCTTGATTGACAATGAAACCTGACATGAAACCAAAATATCGGTCTTAACCAAAATATCTAGCATCATGCAATGATCTGTCTGCATTTCAAATAGAAATGTCACATTTCGTACTAATTTAATGTAATTAATGGAGGTCTGGAATTATTACCTATTATAATTTTTAATTATCTTGTTACCATTTCTTAGCTGATCTTAAGTGACTTGCCTTTTTGCGGAAAATGTCCGGGTAGGTTGCTGTATGAAGTGTATGGTGCTCTGCAAACCATGTGGCCCTAGGGTAAGTTGAGTCACTAGGACAACTTTACACCAACAATGAATGAATTCTGTTTTCCAGATAAAAAGGTTTCTTTTATGAAGTAATTGCAGTATCATGCAAATCTTGAATTATTTAGTGCCATTATATTTTCCTATTAGATAAATTTGGTAGGCTTATTTCATTTTTTTTGCGGCTATGGCAGGTATATTATGGAATTTAACTTCCATTTCCATCCTAGCACCTGAAGCATGATTTTGTTTAATCATGCCAACCTAGGACACTCGAGCTTACTAGTCAGTCCTAAAAGGAAAATAGAATAGTTTATTTTTATTACATCTCTGCCATTGTAATATGTGGTAGGAAGTAAAGGTGACTAATCGAAAAACGGGACTTGGATGACTCCGAATAATTGGTCTAGCCATCAAAGTCATATAAATAACATGTTTTTGTTCTCCATACTTTACAAATCAATCCTTTAAACACTTCTTTTTGCTGTTCTAATAGTTTCTGAATGGCAGGATCTTTGCTCAAGGTCAAGCGGAGAAGGAATCAGAAGTCAACGGCACAAGTAGAAAATGCTCTGCAGGATGCTCATCCTGGTGGTGTTGCTAATATAGATAAGCGTGCCAACTGTGGGAAGCTGGTTGCAGATGAAATCAGCCAGGATATTGCTAAATTTTTGGTCAATATGAAGAAGCTTTTTGAAGAATACTCAGATGCGTGTAAAAATCTGAAAGCTGCAAAACTTCGAGCTAAGCAACTTGAACAGATGAAGATGGAGAACCAAAGAAAGGGCCTATGGTTGGTGGAGAGACCACTTGATGAACTCAACCCTGAGGAGTTGCTGGCACTGGATGCAGAGACAGCGGAGTTTATTGAGAAGCTGAAAAAGCATCGTCAGGAACTTTTGGCCAAGGGTGCCTCTTCAACTTCCATGTCAGCAGGAGGAAGTAATGCTTCCCCGAATTGATCTACCAATGGTGGTTCTTCTGTGGATCTTCAGTAACGTTATTTTCCGAACATTATTGAAAATCAAGAATAATAATAAAAAAAATAATAAAAATAATAAAGTAGTTTTTCCCATGTCTACCATGTTTTCTCTCTCTTTCAATTTGCTTGGTTGATTCAATTCATGAATGACGGATTTGTGACCCAGGTTGAATCCATGAATTCATGTAAGATGCTTTCATGAGAGGCTAGGCATAGTTGTTTGCATATACTTGAAATACATGGAAAAAAAATGGGGAGACTGACAAACTGTTATAGTCAGTTGAGGGACTGAAACTCCCTTATGGTCTTGTTTGAACTCGTCTGATGGGTGATTATATTTGTAATGCCTTAGTACTGTTTGTTTTTATTGGAAAAAAAATTGAAGCTGGTTTATCTACATGAGTGAAGTTAAAAATGTTTGGGGATGCAAACACGATTATTTAAATTTTGAGTTGATTGTGTTTATGTGATAGAAAATGTACAATTGAAGATTTATTACAGTGAAGTGTGCTGGGCTGCTGGATGTATTAAGAAATCTCTGTGAAGAAATATTCTTAGAGATCAAATAATAGGTGATCACATAGAGTGTGCACATTAACATTTCGAAGTATGCATTAATGTATGAAAAAAATGATCTCGTTTGAAATACGTTTTCATGTGATCATGAAACACAAATTTTGAAAACAAATTAAATATTATTGTACATATGTTAAAAGTAGAGGATTTTCGAAAATGTACAATTGAGAGGATTTTTTGAGAGTTGAGATTATCCATCATAAAAGGAGGATAGTAAGAACATAATTAAGAGAGTTCAACACTACCCAATGAGAGAGAAGAATATTGGTAAAGATTATGAAAAATAACTGAAGACTAGAGAGATGGCTTTCTCAATGGAAGGGACCAAGATTTTTCATTGTTTAATGTTAGATGGAAGGTCTTTTCATAATAATAATGTTACCAAGAAATCCTAGAATCAAAGGACAATCCAAGCGGAAGTTAGGATGACAGAGATAAGGTTAAGAGTCTAGTTTTTCAGATCGGTTTTAGGTTTTTGGGCAGAATCAGGTTGTATTGCTTTGCCAACTCTACTGGTCCTTGTAAGTTAAGCAACAAATTCATGGAATCAAAATGATGATGTAAGAGGGATCTAGACACATTTGCAGGAAAAGAAACTTTCCTTCTTAAACAAAAGACTTTCAGAAATATATTCTGTTGAATCAAAGCCTATGATTTTCATTTTTGCTAGATGGAGAACACAGTTTAAACATATACATATGTGGCTTATGGAACTTGGAGTGTTAATAATTAAAAGTAGAACTGTAAGTACAAAACAAACAATTCCAGTTATATTATCAATGCAAGTACAAAACAAAACTTTGATGGCAATAATAGTCATATAGTGAACAACAGAACATCATTTTCATTCTGCAGCTACATGCTCACCATCATTTCCCCCAGTCTTGGTATCTGCCAAAGTCCTAATATCGTCACTTGCATTGTTGTCCTTGTAGGTCTTTGAAGCATTATTGTTGTCATTCTCAGCCGAATTCCCATTATTGTGAGTGTTACTTTGAGCAGCATTGTTGTTTTCATTCTGACCTGCATTTTCATTATTGTAGGTATGAGCCATATTAGTTTCATCCTGATTTGTGGTTTCCCGGTTGTTTGTGTTTCCCTGAACACCGTCATTGTTATCATTCTGGCTAGAATTGTCATTGGTGCTTTTGTTGTCATTGTTTAAATTCTGGGAAGCATTATTCTCGTTCTGACCTGCAATTTCTTTGTCAACAATGCTCTGAGCAGCATTGTTCTCATTCTTAACTGCATTCTCATTGTTGGTGTTGATTCGAGAAGCTTTGTCATTCTCATTCTGACTTACATTCTCACCGTTGGTGTCAATTTGAACAGCATTATTGTTCTCATTCTGACTTTCATTCTCGCTGTTGATGTCAATCTGAACAGCATTATTGTTCTCATTCTGAGTTGCATTCTCACTGTTATTGTTGTAATTCTGGAAGGCCTTGTTCTCATTCATACCTGCTTTCTCATTGTTGGTGTCGATTTGAACAGCAATGTTATTCTCATTCTGACTTGCATTCTCGCTGTTATTGTTGTCATAGTTCTGGAAAGCATTATTCTCATTCTGACCGGCATTTTTGTTGTTGGTAATGCTCTGAGCAGCATTGTTCTCATTCTCACTCGCATTCTCATGGTTGTTGGTGTTAATCTGAACAGAATCTTTAACCTCATTCTGACTTGCATTCTCATTGTTGCTGGTATTGATCTGAATGGCATCACTGATCTCATTCTGACTTGCATTATCACTGTTGCTGGTATTGATCTGAACGGCATCATTGTTCTCATTCTGACTTGCATTATCATTGTTGTTGTTGCTCTGGGAAGTATAATTCTCATTCTGACCAGCATTCTGGTTGTTGGTAACACTGTGAGCAGCATTTTTCTCGTTTTGACCAGCATTCTCATTCTTGTTGTTGCTCAGAACAGTATCATTGTTCTCATTCTGACTTGCTTTCTCGTCGTTGCTCTGGAAAGCATTATTCTCATTCTGACTTGCATTCTCATTGCTGCTGTTGTTCTGAGCAGCATTTTCATTTAAACTTGAATTGTTATTATCCTTTTCAGCAACATCTTCATTTGCATTTGCATTATCATTAGTGTTGCTCTGATTGTCTCTCCCATTTACATTTGCGTCATTGTTGGTATCGTCTCCACTCTCATTCTGACCAGAACCGGCATTATAATTAGTGTTCAAGGATGCTGTCCTCCCTTTGGCAATTGAAGAATCAGAAGAATGAACTTCTTCACTCTGACCAGTATTTGAATTCCCGATTTTGTTCAACGAAATAAGTTTTTCTCGTGTACCCTCCACTCCAGAGTTAGTGTTGGATTCATCAATCTGAACTCCGTCATTTTGGCTTGTAACTGAAGATGAAGAATCTTTGTCCGATCCTCTCCGTGCATCAGAGTTCTCAATCTGCCCCTTTGATTCAACAGACTCAGAGTTACTGGTAGAGCTTGCAGAACCACTGTTAGCTCCATTCATGTGCTCAGTCAAAGCAGCAATTGCATTTAAATCTAACTGTCCACCATCACCACCTGATTTGGATTTCTCCAATTGTTGATCATTTTCATTATGAGTTGAATTGGATGTTGCCTCTCTACCATTCTGGTGTTCATTTGAGTTTGTATCTGTCACTGAAGCCTCCGTGCTCTCATTACCACTCTCTTGATTGTTTTCAGTTGCTTCATTTTCCTGCACGTTTGACTCATTAAGATAAACATTTGTTGCTTCACTGTTACTTGATCCTTTCTCCTGGTCAAATTCATTTTTACCTCTGTTTTCCAATTGCTCAGACTGGTTGGAATTTTCTGAACCACCTGTCTCATTCTCAACTGATACATGTTGAGTATCATGAATTACTTCGCTTGAAGCATCACCCCCCTTTAAGTGTTCTTCTCTTGCTTCTCCATTGTTCATTTCAGTTCCATCACGGACATGATCATCTGATAAATTTTCAATCTCACCTCCACTCTTCTCGGTCTCTTTCTTGCCGCTTTCAGCAGCATTACTCTCTTCCCCAATATGGTTATTTTCCTTCTCTAGACTCTCTTTGGTGTTTTCTTTCCCCTCAAGTGCCTTATTTTCCCCTTCCTCTGTGTTAACTTCACTCTCTTTGTTTTTACTGTCCTCTTTACTCTCTTCTAACCCTTTATCATCGCTAACATTCTCTTTAGTCTCTTCACTCTCCAGGTCTACGCTTTCCTTCTCTCCAATCTTAGTGTTCCGACGTTCTTCATTTTCCTTCTCTCCATCTATAGAATCTTCTCTGTGATCGGCTTCCTCTTCTGCCTTAACATTATCGTGCTCGCCCATCACATCATCCTCTCCATTCCCTCTTGCTACACTTTCGGTTTCCTCGAGCTTGTTATCTTCTTCTCCAATCTTCCTTGCTTCCTCGTCTTCATCCTTGACCCGCACATCCTTAATAACTGTTTCCTCTGCTCGAGGAAGGTCCTTTCTCCCCAACTTTAAGACTTCCTTGTTGGATTTCTCGTACTCGGCTTTCTTCTCACTATTGTGCATAACTTGGTAAAGCAGCCAAATGCATATAGCAGCCAGAACACATATTTGGAGAGCATGCTTTACCTTCAACCCTTTGGATCTTTGATTCCTGTAGGATGAAACCCTCGGCATGGTGCACTCCCTCCAACGAACCTGCCCCAAAACATCACTTTTCTTTTGTATTTACAGTCATACACTACAACATCGAGAAAATTGGCTAACACGACAGAAAGAAAATGAAAACTCAAGCAGACAATGTTGTTAAAATGCAATACATGCAAAGGAAAATTCAGATCATCCCATGAACTAAAGCTCAAATGGTAGTTTACCATTAACATAAATATATTCAATTCAAATTTCCATATGAGAATATGATCGAACACTAATATTAACAATTACAACCGATCCAGTCCACAGAAAATGACGATAAATAATGAATGAACAAGAGGAAGGTTGACAAAATTCCGAAAAGATATCAATGAAACACCTTTCAAACACTCTTACAGCTTTAACCAAGACACAAAATTTAACCTTCACGTCTTTTAAAGGTAAAAATGACAGAAGTAAGTTAAGAAGACGTCTTATGAAGACAGATCAAATGAAGAGATGAATACAATGCAGGATCAAAACTGCACTAAAAATCTGAAACGAATCAACCACTTAAATTTTAAAAGCAAACCCAGTTTTAACAACCGAAAATTAAATTGAAAAAAATTGGACAGAGACTCACCTTCAATCCTAAACGATCAGGAAGAACTAAGAATGGAATCTCTTCGCTTTTAAAGTGAAAATTCAGAGAATGGTTATATTTCCAGAATTTGGACGAAATGAAAAAAAAAGAAACTTGTTTCAAGAATTAAAAGCTACGGGGTGTGTGGAAAAATGAGATTGGATCTAGAAATGGGAAATCAGAGAGCTTGTAACACATAAATGGTGCATTCGTGCTCCTTAGAATGGCATCCCATTGATCTCTGCAAAACTAAAAATTCTCCTTCTCATACCCTCTTTTGTCTCCACACTCTTAATGGCGCGTGTAATTACATTATATGTATACTACGCCGTTTTCGTATCAATCGCTTTCAATTTGGGTTATAAGGTCTTATTTTGATTGTGATCCTCTATTATACATAAATTATTATATAATCCATGTATTTTAACTTGATATAATTCAATCTCGTGCTTTTATAAATTTATAAAATAATATTATACATTTTAGATAATGGAATATAACGTTAACTTCCTTGTCTCACAATTCTTTAATTTCATTAAACTGTATCAGTTAACTTGTATTATTATTTAGAATCTTAGATAATTTACCTAAAATCATAATTTAACCTAATTATAAACTCTTCTAACTAAAAATACTGACTTATTTCCTTAAGGGGCAGATAGCGGCCACGTGTTATAATTGACATACGAAAAGTGGGTGATCGTAGTTTTATCGAAACCCTTTCTTCACCCGCACAGGCTTTAGGGAAGATTAAGTTTGATGTAGAGAAATGGAACGTTAGTTTAATGAGTTTAAGTGGGCATAAGATTTATGGTCCTAAAGGAGTTGGGGCTTTGTACATGAGAAGGCGGCCACGGATAAGAGTTGAGTCTCAAATGAATGGAGGTGGGCAAGAGAGAGGGATTAGGAGTGGGACTGTGCCTACTCCACTTGTTTTCGGGATAGGAGCGGCATGTGAGTTGGCCTTGAAGGAAATGGAGTATGATGAGAAGAGGATTTAAGGTTTGCAAGAGAGGTTGTTGAATGGGATCGGGGAGAAGATTGATGGGGTTGTGGTGAATGGGAGTATGGATAGGAGGTATGTTGGGAACTTGTCATTTGCGTTTGTTGAAGGGGAAAGTTTGTTGATGGGGTTGAAAGAAGTGGCAGTGTCTAGAGGAGTGCGTGTACTAGTGCAAGTTCGGAGCCTTCTTATGTGTTGAGAGCATTGGGTGTGGATGAGGATATGGCACATACTTCGATTAGGTTTGGGATTGGGAGGTTTACTACCGAAGAGGAGATAGATAAGGCAGTTGAGCTTACTGTGAAACAGGTTGAGAAATTAAGGGAAATGAGTCCGCTTTATGAGATGGTAAAGGAAGGTATTGACATTAAGCAGATTCAATGGGCGCAGCATTGATCGAGCTCGGAAGATAGGTGAGGCTAGTTTGGATAAGAATTGCATGTTGAATGATTATGCAGAGCTAGAGCCTAGAATTGTGTCATTATATCCTGGTTTTGTTCTCTCATCCATGTACACTCCTTGATAGCTTTCTTAGCTAATTTACATGATTAGAAAGTAAATCTTGCACTTCATCAAAATAGGGAGATCCTATCTTGATAATAGAAACAATAATAAATGTTTCTGCTTTAGCTGTAAAGTTATTGAATGTTTTTGGAACTCTGAGATCACTGTGATGGATACCAAATAATATCTAGTTTTATGTTGCTTTTTATATAATGAAATGAATTAGGGTGATCTATTCAGCGGTAGTCATTACTTATAAATTTATAATAATGCTTCGGTTCTTCTACCATCGAAATAAGTGTGAAGTCTCCTATCAAATCAAGCATTGTGAAGTAGACATCATTCTACATTGGATTTACCTCTCGCAAAAGTGCCTACTTTTGTGAATGCATTGAAAAAAATTTGTAATAACACGTTTCCCTTTTCTGCCAAGCTGCTGAGTTGCTTTGGCTACTGATGCATGGTGCCTCTTGTTTCGCCACTTTGTTGGATTAAATTGTGAATTAGGCTGGAACCAGACTTCTGTAATTACAGTGTCCTCAAATCCTCATTGCTGATGAAGTCTAATACTGGTCTCTAGGTTGAAGAAAAAATATAGTATTAGATTGCATCTTGATAGCCATTTTTTTCAACGACTGTTATTTAAAATTGCTGATGAAGTCTAATACTGGAAAGTCAACTTGAACCTTGAGACGTGTGCATAGAAAGTAGTCTTCCCAGAAAATATGGTACTCAGGCATGCCCGACATACACAATGCGAACCTGCCTTTGGGTGAGCAAATCTTCTTTTCTGAATGTTAGCTCTCTGTATTTATCCAAGGAATGGGATTTCTCAAAACAGGCAACTCTGAGCTTTTATTTTAAGCTCTCATTATGCAAACTAAAAACCTCATAAATTAGAGATGTAAAATAGGAAGGAATCGAAGGTGATTTGATCCAGTGAACCTTGTAGCTTCGGTCTTACGCAACACTTGCCATTTCGGGTTTTAGGTAATATTACATTCTCTCTGTTAACAAAGCATTTCAGAAATGACATTTATCTTAATTTCTTAAAGTTATTTATTATAAACAAGTTAACATAACATAACATTCTTAATGATATGTTTGTAAACTCACGTCTCGATATTTATATTTTCATAGATAATTTTATATTCAGTAAAATAAATGTCCCCCTAACCCTGTTTCTCCCCCTCAATCTTCTATTTTGAAGCAATCATTAAGCCGTTGTTAAACATCATTAACAAAGCTTCTAATATCTGGTAATCCAATTAACATAGTCGTCCCAGTCCGATATTACAATTAATCATTATTTTTAGATAATACAGTGAGATGAGATCAATGCTCAGGACTGGACAAAGAATTGATAAAGGGTTGCATTTGGAATTCGGATTAGATGTGCAGCTTAAGACGAAAACCCACTTTGTTTTTCATTCTACGACTTTGGATCTTAAGTTCCCTGTTCATAGCTCGTACACTTAACAGGCAAAGGACAGAGGATTCAAACCTTGAATGACTTACTGAGGTATCATCATCCATGTTCAAATTAGTCCTTTTTTCGTGCTATTGTAGTTGGAAAAAAATTGATTATTATTTACGTAGCTATGACCCCATGACTTTTGGTTGTTGCAGCCTTGTCGGGCCTTTAATTTATCTGCTGTCATTCAGGAATTTGGTGTTTCGCAAGCTTAGCTACTGTTTAGTTGATTGGTTTAAACAGCCAAAATTGTTGTACGTATGGAACCAAAGTCTTGTCTAATCATCTCTACATCAAGGATGCTGGAAATGTATTTTGTTGCATATCCAAATAAAAGGAAAATGATAAAAGACTGATAAAAAAATTGTCAATTAAATATCTCGTCAAGTTTTAACAATTGATTTTTGTTTACGGTGACAAAACTTATTAGGTTTGTTAATAAGTTGACTATACACATATGACTATCAACTATCAAATTTTATTCTATAAAAAAGTGATCTCGGCCGAGGATGATTTGTTATATCTCTGGATATCAGACAACTTCTAAAAGTTCTAATTAGAGGGAGAAGTCTTTCAAGATAATTATTAACATAGATTTGATAATTTCACGAGAATATTCTCCAAAAATATAATCTCTTTATTAATAACTAGTGCAAGTGTTGTGCAGAAATTATAGTAAAGAAAAATAGAATCTTTGAAGAAGATGATGGAATTAAGGGGTGATACATGCACCAAACGTCACTTCTCCAAAGATGATGGGCTAACTCTTCTACTTGGCCCAATTACAAGCAACTGAGTCAAACTCTTAAAAGATAGCTTTTAGGCTTCATTCCTGACTTTCATTTACAAGGAATCCAAGCCCACGTAGAGATAGAAGAATTTAAGGAGGGAAACTCTTTCATCCTTCCTCCTAATGCTATTTGGGCCTTCAAACCCAAAGGTGAAGGTAACCCAAAACCAAATTGCGAGATTCATGAAGATGACCCTGAAATTAATTTCAAACCTCCATAAATTACTAAAACCTATATATAAAGTATCCATTGTTGGAATATAAACCATGAATCACTTGTCCTAAGTAGATTTTAGTTATTTAAGTTGTTTTCTTTATTTTATTAAGACCATGCCCAAAGATGGTAATTATTTGTAATGACAAAACCCTAGGAAAGCCCATCATTTCCACCTTACCCTACATGGTTGGCCCTTCCTTGTTCTCTAAAGCATTGTCGCCCCTTCATCTTTTAGAAGACTTATCTGGATCGTCCATCAAGCTAGAGGTTTCATCATGCATTCAAAAGCCTTGATTTTATCATAATTATTTGATCAAGAATTGAATCAACAGCTAACATTCATGCCGCCCATCCTAGTTCTGTTAGGACATTTTTTATTATTATTTTATTACAAACATAGGATGTTACAAGGACTCCTCCTCACCTATATAAAGGAGACTACCCCTTCATTGTTTTTCATCATCTTTTCTTTAAATAATAATACAATGTGATAACGTTTTTGCAAGAGTTGGTTGTCTAGTGCTTTCGAAACATCTTTTCGTTTAAGTTCTTCCAAGTTTTTGAGAGAGAGATCTTCACACTCCGGTTTTCATTCTCATTGCGATTAGGAGGGTTGGTTAGAGTCGTATTGCCGAGTTTGTCTTTTCATTGCAACTAGGAGGGTTCAGTAGCACATATCCATCTATATTTCATCTCCATAATCCATCATCTTCTTACTCCATTATCACACCATCATCATTACCAAAACGCTAGGTTTGCGTTAAGCTATATAACTATAGGGGTAAATTTTCAAATCTCTTTTTACGAAGATCCAACCGTCAGAATTTTGATTCGTCTTCTTCGTTGCAATCCTTATCTCATTATCTTTCCAACGAGTATTCATTGATCCAAATCCATTCAAAACAGCCTCACGCCACCCATTATAAGGGACGATAACTTTAATTCCTCTATTACATGTTTTGACTTTTAGTTTATCTAATTACCCTTGTTTTCCTTTTGTCCTTATTTCATTAGAATTCTATTACCCTTTTTTTTTATTGTTTTAACCTATTATTCTTGTCTTAATCTCAGCAAATAAAAGCCTTAATCCAATTACCTTGTTGCCACCCACATTCTTCATTCATCCTCTC